GATGATGATGATGATGATGATGATGATGATGATGATGATGATGATGATGATGATGATGATGATGATGATGATGATGATGATGATGATGATGATGATGATGATGATGATGATGATGATGATGATGATGATGATGATGATGGAAGTGGTGGGTCAGAAGTATTGTCAGTTAGTTGGCGGCGGAGAGGAGGAGGAGGAGGAAGAGGCGGGCGGGGGACGATGGTTGGTGCCGTACGAGAGGCGCAGTTAATCCGAAGATGTCCAACAAGTCCGATTCGAGCCCGGAATGTCCGTTGACATCGAGAACACGTTGGAAGCGGTTGTGCGGCGGCGTTGCGTACTGGGCGCAGTTGAGATTTGCTGGCTTTGCGTTTCGCTTTGGCGGCGACGATGCGGTTGACCTCGTAGATAGCAGCGCCTGTCTTCACTGTCCTCCTCCAGGTCGGTCGATCGAGTGCGAGCTCCTCCCAGTTGGTGGGGTTGATTTGCAGGCATTTCAGGGAGGACTTCAGGGTATCCTTGTAACGCGAATCTGGCCTCCTTGACGGCGAGAACCCGTCGCGACGTCTCCGTAGAAGAGTCGTTTGGGTAGTCGCTCGTCGTGCATGTGCACCAGGTGGCCGCTCCAGCGCAGCTGCATTTGTCTCAGTATGGCGTAGATGCTGAGGATTCCCGTCCGTTCCAGCACATCAGTGTCGGGGATTCGATCCTGCCTCTTCAGCCTCAGGATGCGACGAAGACAGCTGAGGTGGAAGTGGTTCAGACGGCGTGCCTGCTTTGCGTACACCGTCCAAGTCTCCGCTCCATACAGTAGTGTCGGCAGGATGACGGCCTTATACATCTTCAGCTTGGTGCTCAGCTGAAGACCGCGGCGATTCCAAACTGTGCTTTGGAGGCGACCGAAGGCTTGGCTGGCTTTCGAGATCCTGTTGACGACTTCGTCGTCGATCTTGGGGTTGCGGGAGAGGGTACTGCTCAGGTGCGGAAAGTTCTCCACCACTCGCAGTTGTGTTTCGTTCACGCTGATTTGCGGCGGCGCGTTGGGGGCTGTGACCGAGTTAAGGAACAGACCGAAGTTCTCGCAGGCGGCGGAGAACAGGTCCATGCTGCGTTGCATCTCCTCTTCCGAGGTGGTGTTTAGGGCGCAGTCGTCGGCGCAGAGGAGTTCGTGAACGGTGGTTGTGGAGACGCGTGATTGGAAGCTCATGCGCCGTTGATTCAGGAGATGACCGTCCGTTCTATAGGCGATGCGGATCCCGGGGCGTTCATCGAGGTAGGCGTCCATCAGCATGGCAGAGAACATAAGACTGAATAGGGTTGGCGCCAGCACGCAGCCCTGCTTCACTCCGTTGGTCTCGACCTCTAACGGTCTGTCGACACCCACGGCGGAACCCTCAGTATTCACCGTCTATTAGTAGTTTGGTCGTACCTCCCTAGCACACTCCTCGGCTGGGTTCGAAGCGGACGGTGGCCGATCGTGTCTGGGTTCGTCTTGTCTGACCACTTTGACGCGAATAGTCTCATCGGGCGTATCAATTCGACCCTGACGATGTCCGTTTTTAATCCCGTATACAATAGCACATGCAGACCAGCCCTGTGCGACCCGCATACGTACCCCTCAAGGCTGACATTTATTCCTGCCCTGACGATGTCCGATTATAATCCGTAATACACCGCCACATGCAGGCCAGTCCTGCCCGCATTTTTGTCCTATTATTAATGACAGTTTTTCCTCTTGTTACATTAATCCAATCGTTTTTGAAAATTTTTAAGTGGTTTTTTTCCACTGCTCGCTCATCATTTTTCTTAACGAACTGCTAATTCAGAAACCATGAATTGCATTTATTGCAGATTCTGCCTATCTCGTCTAAAATTCATATGAAGAATTGTTTTTATTTGCTTTGATGTGACCGCGATGGTTTTTTAAGAAAAAACGGCTATTATCGTAAAATGATAACAAAAATTTACCATTATGATTATTATTACTTTACAGCAGATTCAGTCGAGATGAATGGGCCGATAATTGCTCGCTAATGCGATCCTCGCACTTGCATTTCGGAAAGATATTTGCCGTCTTCCATTCGGATAGCAGCCTCCCTAGCTCGAATGACAAAAAGAGGATGCGTGCTACTGCTTTCTATAGTTCACTTGCCAATTATTTGAAGAATTTGGCCGCTATATTTTCCAGATCCGACGACTGTGCTTCTCTGAGATTTTTAGCTCTCTTCACACGGCAGATGCTAGGAAGAATATGGATTCAATCACGGGACCAGCAGTCATAATAGCATTACTGGCATTGTGACTCCGAGACTCCGTTTCCCTACGGAAAATTAAAACAAATTACCGTCCAAGAGATTCGACTTTCACGCTGTTTTCAACTATTTCTGCGCGCTTATCACCCCTAAGTACTGCGACAACATCTGCGTTCGCAGTCTACTGTAGATAACGTGAAATAACATCATGGGGGTGTTGTGCGGCCCGTTGGGTAATTCTGGATTCATACTCCTTTCTTGCCTGACGAATGCATTTTTGACTGCATTTCGTTGACGAAACAGTTCAAAGTGCACAGCGGAGTCAGCTTCCCTAAATATATACCATCTTTTACTTTTCTTCTGTAACGGTCTATTCAGGTCCCTAGTTAAACAGGCAGATCGACTAGTCGTTTTTGTGTCTTCATTTGACAGCAGCTCCGAAGTAGATTGAGTGAAATCGTTTTCAACGATCTTCAGTCGTTCTCCGGATCTCCCTCGTGCAAACGATCTCAGTTCGCGGGCACCAGTTCGTTCTTAATCGTGATCAAATCTGCCTTCCATATATTAGACTGGCCTGTTATTTCCCCTTGGAGTTGAGAGAAGGGTGAGTGGTTCGACATTAGCGTAGTATGCGCATTCTTTCCAAGAGGTGCGCTAGAATACACTTCGTCAATATTGTAGGTCTTTCGTATGAACTAAGTCCAAGAATTGGCTCTATGGCTCTCCATAAATCTCGTTGGTGCCTTTATAATAATAATAATAATAATAATTTTCGTTCAAGACCAGAGGGGGTCCTTTCAAAGCAAGTAATAATGACTTGTGCATGAATTTTAGAACAGGTATGCAGAATCTATGCCATACTTAATTCGTAGTTATTGAATAAGTAGTATGTTAGGGAGAATGATAAACGAGCATTGAAAAAAACTCCTAACATATAAAAAAATGAGTATGCCTGGATAAACACTATAGGAGAAAAAACTCACTCCACAATGCATAAAAAGCAGGCAGGACCGGCCTGTATGTGGCAGTGTATAACGGATTTCATTAAGGGGCGAGCAGGCGGGTCATGCAGGATTGGCCTTTACGTGGTATTGAGTAAAACGTTCTAAACGGGCATCATCAAGGCAGAATTCAAATGCCGGATGAGGCCATTCACGTCAAAGTGGCGAATAGAAAACCAGTCTCGAGGCGATAGGAACTCAGATGCTATCGGTTACAGTCAGCCGAGTCCAGCTGAGGAGGAGGCAAGGGAGATGCGACCAGACTACTAGTATATGGCGAATACAGAAGGTTCTGCCAAGAGCCTCGATAGAGCGCATTCTGTGAGGGGCACGATGCATGAACTGAAACATCGACAAATTAACATTTCTGATGAGGGATCCCAGGAAGCGATACTTTAAATATTGTGCCAGAAGGAGGCGAGTGTAAGGTCCATCAGCTTATGGCTGAAAGAAGCTGGCTCACTGTCAAGCTCTCCCACCCTATTGCAGGTGCAGTGAGATCCCCAGCAATGAGAACCTTTTGGTTGACAGCTACCTCCTTGGAAAAACTGAGGATCGACTCTTCGGCAGAACCCGGAGGTTTGGTGACCTATAAACCATCAGGAATTGTAGGTTTTGTGCGCTACTCATCTTTGTCTTCATTCAGGCGGATGCATTATCAAGGGAGAGGGTGTGGGCCCGATCAACTCTCGAAATGGCTGTCCTTTTACGTACGACTACCCCACTGCGCCGTTTATTTTGGCAGTTTCAGCTAAAGAACTGGTACCCCCGTATCGAAATCTCAGCATTCACGGTTTCGGCTTTGAGCCACGTTTCCGATACAGTAATGATGTCGGGGTTTTGTTCTGATACTGTCACTTTGAGTTCGTCGATCTTCCAAACTTCACTTTGAGCATTAGAGTACAAAAAGTCTCAATTTGGACTGAGTATTGCCGTTGCCCCCCCCCCTTATGTAAGAGAAGGAGGTTTACTGCCTTCCACTGCAAGAGCAATCTCCCTGTTCTCAATGACAACTCGAAGAGAATAGAAAGGGGCTTTGCCAACTCTGTTGGTCTTTTTCAATTATAGGCCTAACTGAACAGGGCGACTCTGTTTCGCCGAACAAGCGCTTTGCACGTACATACAACTAATGCGGATGCCTTTTATTTCGTATTTAACAGTATCGTCAATAAGTGGGGGTTGCAGTCCCATACGTCTTAAATAACACTCTCTGAAATATAAAAGTCACTGGCAACATTCTGGTAATATGTCTGTTTGACCTTGAATATTTTATGCTCTGTTTTCAATAGAGTCTTCGAAGGAATTACCGTTAATCTGAGATAAAATGTACTGTGTCTCCAGTTTCTCCTTACTTTAATATTATATTTGCATACATATGACTCTTTTTTAACCCCATCTGTCATTACTTTCGCGATAACCTGTCTAAAAATCGTGTTCAGAAATTTCCCCATATCAATCTGCCCAAGCTGCGCTACGCTAGTCCGTCTGTGTCCCTAGCATCATCCATCGGATTTGGTTCGAACCTCCAGCTATCAGAGTTTTCTTCGGTTTTAGTCGGTACTATAGGATAGGCTCAGTGTCGCGTGGAATTAAGCTGACAGCTGATAGCATAGTATTTGGATTTCGAGTGCACAACTCGAGCGTTCTGCAGTTATTGGAATCTATATGTTTCGAATTTATTTCCCAATGTGGCAGGGGAAAGGTCCCATCAGAATCCTTCAAAGAACAGATTCAGTGATTACTCGTGTTCATTTGCGCCAGGGAAATATATCCCAAATTTGTCCTCAACGGCGACCTGCAATTGTTCTCTTATCTGCACAAGGCTCTCTACGTGACAGCTTTTCTCCAAGATCCGCCTCCAAAATTACAAATGACTGAGTCGTTTTCTACCTAACTTCATACTTGGCAACTTATCTATCCTAACAATTTGCTGGAACTAACCGGCATTATTCCCGAACAGATGGGGAGCTTGAAAAACTATAATCAATGAGCCACTCAGTTATGACAGAACTGACCCTGACTGAGAACAACTACATTTTCTGCGCTCCAACTGGTACTACATTGATGTCGATACCACTTCGCGCTTACTGTCTCTGAAGCTGCCGCCGGAAGTGTACGTATTAAATTACTTAATGCGTCTCTAAAAGTTTTTCTCGTACGGAAATTTATCAGAAGTCTGACTACATGGAATTATTTTTTTCATTAAAATCTAGCGGATAACAGAATCGATTCGCGCACAAATACCGGTCTAGGAAAACAAATCGTTGCCACCAAGGAAGATCAGGATTTATTCAGGGTCTTCGATATACTCAAAACGGCTGGGTGGCGCCTACATATATTTCATACGTTTCATATTTGTTCTCTAAGGGCGAATTTTTTTTAAAAAAAGACGCATTTTTGACCATTTGATTTTGAATATTTGCCATACTCCATTGCATGCGGTCATAAGTATCAGTTTCAACCTCGAAAGAGAATATACACATACCTATACACGACGTCTACTGAGATGGCCTCGCCACACAGGACTAACGCCTGCTCTATTTATATTTGCAACCAAGGGCACGCAAAACGCGCTTAAAGCGTAATCAGAGCCATATCTGTTAGTAAAAGGATGAGTCGCGCACTAAATGCTCCTATTATCTGCTGAAAGTCCAAAAAATCGAAAAAGATTTGGCTGCTTTATGGAAACTTATGCAAGTGAACGATGGTGGGCAAAACGCGGGTAACAGTGTCAGACTTTTCAACACAAAACCAAAGAGCAAAACCCCAAAACAGCCAAAAAGCAAAGTTTGCAGAAGCCTTTAGTACAATGACGCGGATACTCATGACGATGGGATAATAACAATAGTGTCCCCTCGTTTCTATGACAGACAACCGGAGCGAACCACCAACTTCTCCCAGCCATTCCGTGTGCTCAATGGAACCCTTGGTTGAAAGTGAAGAAACGAGCTCGTGGCAAGGTGGGATAGGCAAATAGCACAACAGGAGCATAAAATCCAGCACGATTCCAGTGGATCTCCCAAGACCTTCAGCTGACAAGCGAGCCGGAAACAGAAGAAATGGACCCCTTGATCGCCAGCACTGTGTAGTCGTCCAGAGCCTAACGGAGTCGAATGCTCCTACCTCGAGGGAGGGGGTTTCCACTGACCTTGATATGTTTCAACACCTACTGAGCAAACTGCTGAATTCTTATGAAAAGGTAACCATTTGTGCATCCGTCGTTGTCCACGAGGGCCAGAATGGTCCCGCTCTGTGAGTGAGCAACGGAGTAAGTCCTTAATTCACACCTCCTGTTGTCTGAAGTCAGGAACCTTCAATAGTTTCTTCGGTATGGGTGTGCACGGTTGTGACAAGTCCAGCTTTTAAAGTTCTAGAGCAAGTTTGCCCACCAGGTTGTCAGACATTTCGGTCACAGCTGCCACCAGTTGGTAATGATCCCGAATGACAGTACAGAGGTGGCCTAAAGAAAGGAAGATTATTAGTGACTGTTGTGTACTACAAGACCTATGTACAAAAAGAAACTATGCAGGGAGCCTAATTGCAAAAATCAACTGGGTCTGAAACGGTTGTCCATGAGGTTAGCGGAAAGCATAGATGTTCACCGAAGACGCCGACAGAAGTCCAATGTCCATAGGGCGACAGATTTGCCATGGGGTCAATGGAGGTCACCACTAGCCCTTATTTATAACTACTTCAAGATCGTATTTAAATCCGCCGTTGCGACTGATTGTGAATTAATTTAAGGGGGAAAAATAAACAAGCTTAACCCAGAGATATTGCCGCCGGGGCATATTCCCGGTGTTGCCCCCTCGAGAAAAAAAAATGCGCAGGGGCAGCATCATCTCCGTCGTTTATGCTCCGACCGATTTGTGGCTCTTCGAAGCCCAAAACTGCAGCTAGTTGTCCCATCACTTACCAACCTTTACGTCAGAACACTAACGGGCAACTTAATGGTAATGCGCACTTTATTAAAACAAAAGTTTAAGGAAAAATGCCCATTTATAAATATAGTCCGCTGTGGTTTGGCAAGGTGCATGGTAAGCATGACCGTCGTCATTCATAGCTCGTCCCTGCAGGAAAAGAGAACCACTAGTTACTGATGTACATTGCTACTACAATACTTTTAAGCAATGCTGAATAATAGTGTATCTTGACTAGTCGAATTTAGACACAAAGATAAACAAAAGCAAGGAGATTCCATCATAATGAAATTTGAAACTTATGCTACTTATGTGCACCGTAAGTGTGATATACCACGATGTCCACTGTAATATTTCGCAGAGCAGTGTGAACGCAAATGTATATCAATATTAAAAAGAAAGGCGTACAACCATGTCCTCGCAGTGGGACGTTGGTTGGTAAGATGGTAGATATTGGAATCTGGGAGTAAGTTATAAGGGCCCAAGCCAAATAATTTACTCTCTCGGTGGTATCTCCATAATTGGCTCTGCCTCAATACCGATCTCTCCCCGCCTTTGAATCAGTCAATTTCAATTTTGCGAAGTGCATTGACCGAAAATAGCATTTTCTCGAATTACACCTAAATAAGTTAGTAAAAATAATGGACGGACCAAGGAGGATACCATAAATGGGGCAGCCAACTAAGCTCCGTTTTTGAGTTGAACCGTCCCAACAGCAGCTGAGGCATAGTGGTGGACCCAGTAGAGCTGTCAGGAGATTCCTGGCGAACTCCTTCACGTTTCACTCTTCGATGAGAACTAGCTGTTTTAACTGTAACCGGTAAAAAATATTTTGCATTAACACGAATGGAAGAGAATATGCGCATCCCGGGTTCTTGTTTAAAAGAAGACGAAGGCACGATCACTGGGACAGTAGATTTATTTGCCTGAGCTTTCGAACTCTAACTGGAGTTCATCATCAGAGACTACTTGAGTGCAGCAAATTGTAAACGCTTATATGGCTTTTTCATGCAGGGGGGGGGAGGAGTACGTCCGTGGCTAGGAAGAGTTAGTGCCGCCTGGCCCACGATGGTCCCCCGGCGTGGTGACGCCGTTTGTACTTCGCGACGGTGTGAGCTGCGCAACCTGGCTGCGTGGGCGGCGCGCGTGATAACACGCAGGCAAATCGATGTGTCTGTTGATAGAGTTGGTGTCCGGCGCTCACGCCTCCAACAGCTCTCGCCCTGTCTTGTTGCCGGCTCGCGCCAGTATCCGCGTGTTGGCAAAATCGAACTCATGGCCTTCCTCCAGCGTGTGAGTGACTACTTGAGATAGTGGGTCGCCTCTGCGAACGGCCCGTTTTTGCTCAAGTATTCGTGAGCTGAGACGTCGTCCTTACTGGCCTGTGTAGTGGCAAGGACAGTTTTGGCACGGGATTTGATAGACTACGCCCGACTGTTCACCTGCGCCCAGCTGATCCTTCATTTTCATGACCCTGCTACGCATGGTGGCCGACGGATGATGAGCGATGCCCACGCCTAGCTCTGACGCAATGCGTTCTGTAGCCTCGGACACATTCTTTATGTACGGTAGGGAGTGCCAAATTGTTGGTGTCTCTCTTCCATTTGTCCGGCGTGGGTGCGTGCGTATGCAGCGACTGATGGGACTATTTGGGTAGCCGTACTTTGTTAATTGGTCCCGGAGATGCGTAGTTCTTGCATCCTTCCTTCGGGCTCGCTACAGTGCGTTTTTAACCGGTCGAAAAGCGCCCTCACACAGCCCCGTTTGTGCACCAATGGGTGGTTGCTATGATAAATGAGGACCAAGGTTGTATTGGTCGCCTTTCTGTACACTGTAGTTCTAAGTTTACCATCAGGTGTGCGCGTGACGATCACGTCAAGGAAGGGTAGCTTCTCGGCCTCCTCGTTTGCCCTTGTAAATCGAATGTCGGGGAAGTTGCTGTTAAGCAGGTCTTGAAAACCCGATAGCCTGTCCTTTTAAATAATGACGAATGTACCGTCCACGTATCGGCGCCAAAACGCAGGTTTGTAATGGCTGAAAGCAACCTTTTCCAGCTCTTGTAGGACCAATTCCGCAACTAGGCTGGATATTGGGGAACCCATGGGTGTTCCTTTGTTTTGTTCGTATGTTCTGCCATCGAAAGTGGAAAAGGTTCGTTGGCAGAATGCAAAGAGCTGAATTAGGTGCTGGATCATTAGCGGCCTTGTCGTTTCGTCGTACTTTTCTTCGAGGCGTTTGCGTAGCACGTCGCGCGCCAAGTCTGGTGGAATGGGTTCCCCAATATCCAGCCTAGTTGCGGAATTGGTCCTGCAAGAGCTGGAAAAGGTTGCTTTCAGCCATTACAAACCTGAGTTTTGGCGCCGATACGTTGACGATCTTTGCCAGGGCCACTTCTCCGTGCTTTGCTACCTCGGCGAGTTCTATTCTCGACATCACCGGCCGCTACACCAGGAACTGTATATAATTTTTAGAGTGAAGTGACACTTCCTGAGCGGACGTAGAGGTTAGCTATGTAACGTCCACTGAACAATACAGAGTTGTTTGAATAAATTGGCAGCCTTGGCGCGCAGACTTAAGGTGGGGGTGGTGTAACTGCGCGCTGGTGGGATTGTCCTTGTCTACCACTGACTCCTTCCCACAACTCGCTGTAAAGTTCGATTCTCTCTCTCTACGTCGGCGCTCCCTTCGGCCCTTCCCTGCAGTTGCCTACAGCGCTGCGTTCCTCTGTCATTTAGCAGGCGTGTCAGTGTCGCCTCGCTACCCAGACAGGTCATTCCCTTACTTCAACTTATCCCGTTTGTACAGTTAACCGCTATTATATGTATCTCCAGTTTCCATCTCTTACTATTATATCTTTATGTCCACCTCGTGCTTCCTTTTCCCTTTCGTATCGATGAGCATTGTGGCATGTTAATGACTACTCAGATCATTGTTAGCCGGGTTCTAATCCCAGCGCTTCGCTACCTCGATGTATGCTATATTTGACGTCTTCAGCCGCTTAACCTGGACAAGGTTAAACATTTGAAGCAATTTTTACTGCCAAGAAACTAATGCTTCATGCATGGCTGTCATGAGCTCATTAATGCAGAGCTGCGCTTTGTTCAAATTGGCTTTCTATACTGCAAATTGCTGACAACAAAAAACATTGAATACAGAGGGTATGTTAAATGAGAGTTCTCCCAAAACGTTTAGTCTTACCTTATATTTGAGGATAAGGTATTTTCTCCGCATTTCCAGCCGGTCCTGGCGTTGACGACAACTCCTGAATGCGAGTAGAGTAACATCAGGCACCCCACTGGCGCGAAACTCCAAGAAGACAGTAATCCGGCTTTTAGTATGTCAAATGTACTTTCGAAGGCGGCGTAAGCCCGTAAAAGAATGGAAACTCGGTCGTTTGAATAAAAGCTTCGTTCACCGGACGTCCCCGATCTACACTCGAATCCCTCGCCAGAGACGACATCAGACAAGGGTAACGGGCGCGCTAAAGTCGCGGTATTTATGAAACGCATCTGCTATGCACCTGCATACCTATCGATTTTAACGGCACCCCCGCATATCGCATATGGTCGTATATGGTGCGATGATCGCTCGATCGCCCACCTCCTAGTCGTTAACTGCCACAATCTTGTTATCAGCATCGGTTATTAGTGTGTGCATTATTCGGCAGTTTGACGCACCAATACTGGTACTGAAAAGAGCGTCTGCACTCTCCCCTCACGCCGGGCTAATAACCGCCCACTCGAAGCTGGAGACTGAGTATGGACGAAAGAGGTCAGTACGTTTGTTGACGGGCTCCGGACTGGCTCGTGGCCCACTTGGTTATTGCCTTTAGAGAGGATGTCGACCTCGTCAAATTTGAATGAGTTCTTATGTCCCGTCAAATGAGTCTCGACCTGAGTTAACGTCCTTCCCGCACTGATGGTGCGTTCGGCGAAATCTCTCAGCTTTCTGACATACTTGCTTTGTCCGCAACTGCACAAGATGCGTAGGCGACTCCTTCTGTGACAGCGTCTCTTGGCCTCATCACTTGGCGACTGTTCGTTGCCTCTAGTCGCTTCTAAGTGGCGTTGAAGACTGCTGATAGCTTCTGAGATCCTAGCACATGAAGTCGACAGATCGAACGGTTCGTCCATAAACGTTTGGGAGGTTAAAGCGCTTTCGAGCTGCGTTCCTGACCAGGCGAAGGCACTCCTCGGGATTAATGACTGTCAACTTGAGGAAGTAGATATTTTTGAGTACCTCGGGACGAGGCTACTGCTGAATGGACGAAGTAAGAACGACGTTTCCCGAATCGATGCAGCTCGCAAGATTTTCAAAATCTATAGGAAGTGTATGGACCCGGCGCGACATCCCCATCGCTACGAAGATCCGCTCTTACTCAACACTCGCCGTTCTGTCCTCTTCTGCGGTTGTGAGCACTGGGTTGTGCGCGTGAAAGTTGAGCAAATGCTGGAGATGTTTGACCATCGCTGCTCGAAGATTGTCCTTCGAGTGGAGTACACCTATCTCGATCTAAGTGATGCATTCGGCACCCTTTGTGACAACGTCGCAGGGATATCTCAGGCCATCCAAGAAAGACGGCTGAGATCGTTTGGGTACGTTCTTTGTCGTCGACAACATGGACTTGGTACTGTCCACCTGTTGGCGTTGAGGAAGTCGCCAACCTAAAGCGTGGTTGGACACAGTTCGCCAAGAACTGGAAGTGGTCCTTGGACCTCCTGTATTAGGCCTCTCACTAGATTAGATAGTGAGTTGAGCCCTCCGTATCTGCTGCTGCGGATCGTCACGCGTGGAGATGTGCGATTCGTAGCATCAGCGAAACCGACATGGTCACAGCTGCACCAAGTAGAGACAATTTCCATTTAGGCGCCCGCCAAAATTTATAACCCCTGCGAGTTAGTCTCGTCCCGTCTATGTATGCATAGGTAGACGAAGTTGCTTGAGTAGCCATTCGCACTGAGCACCCATCGAAGGTATCATAATTTGTAAACCTCGTCTTTCGACTCGCTGCCATGCGTCTCTTTGCTGTCGGACGTCCGTCCGGTTAGTTCCATATGGTTGTGCATGATAGTCAGTGC